TCATTATAGTGGGAAACATTTGAATTTATATCATGTACAGTTTAATCAAGTCAAATTTACAATTTTGCGCAATTATTTGAGCCAACAAAACTTAAATTCCCAGAAAAAAATATTTGAAATTGTTACATAAAATTATATAACTATAGGTTGTGTTAATAATTTATAATTAGCAACATTGTAATCTCATATCAGTCTCATTGAATGTTGTTATTCGTTTTTAATTTTATTTTGTGCGATGTTACAAAGAATGAATAATAAAAAGAGGCCATCATAGTGTATGAGCTGTTTCATCTAAATCACTGGCTGAAAAGCAGAWATATGAAATATTTTAATGAAAGTCCTTTATCTCAGACCCAGTCAGATGTTCACAGCAGACAAGTGGGGATAAAAACATTATAAGTCATAATAAATATCGCTCAAAAAAGCAAGTCAAATGAATTTTAATATCAAAGCCTATTTTACAAACGCACCAGTTGGTTTGAATTAATAAGAAAGTATCTGCAGCCCCTAATTACCAGAGACAGATTGAGAAGAGATTATCCAGCAATCTAATCTGCATTGCAAAGTTCTGCTGGGGAGAATTTGACAGAGATGGATAAAGCTTTACTATGAGGTTATAATGGGGGTGTGCATGCGTGCATTTTCTAACCATTATAATGTGAAAGGGTTTAAATCATAACATGCAGGCAAATTGTAGACTTTTTCATAATAAAAAAAAAGTTGTGTATTCAGCTTTCTCTTGTTGCATTTATCACTTTGAAGCTTTAAGCTAGGAGCATGATCATGTGGTTTTGAACTGATTGATTGGGTCTATCAGCATCAACTGAACTGTTTTCTGCACACACAAAAAAAGAAAGAAAGAAAATCTTTCATCTGTAAACTTTTCTAATAGTATTTCACATCWGCATTATCTTCATAAAGACTCTACTCAAAACTGATGGTTTTATTCCTTATTCTTATAAGTACACCAAAATGATGTGTAAAGATAAAAAGTTTTGATTACATCTTGCCAGAACCGTCTTGTACAACCCAAAAAAACAAAAAAAGGACAACCGCAGAGTTATATTTTGGCAGAATAAAWGCGACAGCAGGCGGACACAGATACCCTCAGAATAATCCAAACACATGCAAGTCATCACGCAGGAAAACACAGTCATGAGGTAGGAATTAAAGCCCCGCTAAGATTTCCTGAAAGCGCAGCTTCCTTACTGAGCGAGGCAGCCTGTCACTCTGGGGGAAAAAAAAGCTTTGTGAGCTAAAGCTTTGTCCATTTGCTGTCAGCCTCTTCCCTGCCTGCTTCGGCGTAAAGGACAATGAAGTTTTTCCTCGATTTCTGTCAGTTCATTTAGACAAATATGCTGAATGTGCAGACCCACAAATAAAATGACAAACGGGAAAATGCTTCCTCCTTTTCACATCTCACACCTTATATATATATA